TTAATTAAACATTTCGAAAATATATTGGAGTATATAAACTTTTACCTACTGACGACATGCATACCTCAACTAATTTCGACCAAACTGTTCGCTCTGGAACCGGCCCCCTCGCCCGCTACGATGGTGCTGAGACCATAGCCGGTATTCTGTCACGTAATGATATTGTGGCAGAATTCGATAATAGAACCACTCCTTTGATCCAACAAAGCCTATTAAGCAAACAGCCCATACATTTTATGCCTACTGAAGTTAGTGATGATACTGAATATATAAATGAGATCTCTACTTATATTTTGCGTATTACTGGTACTTTGATTAATAGGCAAAAGGCGGTTGTGAATATTACAGGCATCAAACTCTTCTTTGATGTCAAAGTATCTAAAGAGATGTTGTTATCCATGTTTAAGACCAAATATCCAATATTCTTAATAGCATATCGAAGTTTGGAATTGAGACTATTAGTGCTTTCCCACTTTAAAGGTATCATACAGAAAAGAAACTATATATCCGTGTGAGAACATAGAAAACTACGACCAGTACAATGCATTAAAAGCAGTCCATGCTGTTGGTATGTGTACAGCTTCAGATGATCTAAATTGCCAGTATTATTACCGCAAAGTAGCCCGTGAAGAAAGATTACCTCTTTCGAGTTGGGCAGTATTAAGTGATTATTTATATGGACACATTCAGAAGGGAGCTTATCTCTTCCAAGTATCTGTGAATAATTACAATCCAATAAATGAAAGTGATTATAATAATCCATTATTTTCCTCGGTGCTTTCACGGGATCACACTCTTGTTCTCATGTGGGATATTGAAACATATAGCTCACGAAAAATGGGGGAGGTGCTTAATGCAAAATACGAAGAAGATGTTGTGTTTATGATTTGTATGACAGTTTATTGGAAAGATGATCCTGAATCATTAAAACAAATTTGTCTTGTTGATGTTGAAACCGCTCCAGACCCACAATGGATTACAATCATATGTGGATCCCAGACCAATTTACTAAAAGCATTCGCATTGTGTTGGAAACTTTTAGCCCCAGATATACAAATAGGCTTTAATGATTCACAATACGACTGAAAATTTATTGTAGAGAAGGCTAATAAATTAGGAGTTCTCGAATGGATGTTCAATCATATGTCATTCAAGCCATCGAGCCTTGAAAAAATTATAAAATAGGAATATCGATATAATATGATAAAAGTAAATGATGGAAAATTCTATTCAAAACATCTTAAAATTCCTGGCTGTGTAGCCATTGATGTTCAGCCCTGTTTCAAGGAATTCTATTCTAAAGCTGAAAAAAGTAGTCTCACATTTTACTTAAGTGAGTGTGGACTTGATAACAAAGTAGATCTACCCATTCACCACATGAACAAGTACTATAAAAGGGCATTAAAAGAAACAAATGCCACAACAGCCGAGCAAATGCATGAAGTGGCCAAATACTGTATTAATGACGCTCTTAGCTGTCAGCGGTTAATGGTCAAGTGCAATGTAATTAATGAATATAGGGAGTTAGTAACTCTAGCCTTTTTATCATTATTTGATGCACATTATTTTGCTGGGGGTATGAAGGTTTGCAATCTTTTAAGTGCTAGTGCGTGGCAAAGAGGGGTCCTATCCAGTACAATCTCAAAAGAAGAAACTGGAACTGAAAAATATCCCGGAGCTTATGTTTTCCCACCAGTAAAAGGTCTCAAAAATAGACACCCTGTAACTAGCTTAGACTTTGCATCATTGTATCCGAGCCTTATCATGACTTACAATCTCTTACCCGATAAAATAATTTTATCTCTAGAGGATACTAAGCAAAGTGGTAAAAAGCTTCATGAAATTAGTTTTAAATTCATTGGTCGGGATATTTTTGCATGGTCTATCCAACATAATAATGTTCTAGAAGAAAAAGGTCTCTATGTTAATATATTGGAATATTTATCTGGCAAACGGAATGAGATGAAGAAACGCCTTGCCCCTTTAAAAGAAAAAAAGGAAGACATGGGACTGGTAATAGGTTTAATGGATAAAGGTTTGTTGCTACCAGAAGCTATCGAGCAGGTTTTAGCAAAAGCAGAGGAGAAAAAACGTACTAGCCTTAACAAAAATCTATACTATTTTATTAATAAAGAAGAACACGAATTTAAGGTAGAATATGACTCTGTTTGTTTTGACTATTCTTGCTTAGATACAAAACAATATGCTTTCAAGGTATATATGAATACATTCTATAGTACGGCCGGGAATAGTAAATCACCTTTCTTTTTGCGTAAACTTGCTAGAGGTGTCACCTCGGCTGGACAAAGAAATATCAAACTTGTTGCAGAATTCGTTAAAAGTAAGAGATTTGAAATAAAATATGGGGACACTGATTCCTTATATCTCACCTGTCCAGAAGAATGCTTCCAGGAATGTGATGAGGCATATGACAGTGGAAATGAGATCTCGAAAGAAGAATATTGGTCTAGAATGGTAAACATCTCTATGAAAATTATGGAGAAACTCCGCAACGAAGTTAATGGCTTTCTTAGAAAAGATAATAGATCGTCTTATCTTAAAATGGCATATGAGGAGGTTTTATTTCCAGTAGCATTTACTAGAAAGAAAAAATACTATGGTATTCCATATGAAAGTAAGCCAAACTTTAATAAAAAGCTTTTTATTCGGGGGTAGAAACTGTAAAATGAGGGCATTCTACCCTTTTCCGCAAAATAGAAAAGCGTATTATAGATAAATCTATGAAGATAAACAATACACATACCTTGCAACAGATCGTAGAGGAAGTACTCAAGAAAACTATAAACAATATTTCTCAGATAGACCTTAATGAATTGA